GGCAGTGTCTCCAGAAGGAGGGAGTACTGACGTATGAATGCCACGGAGATGGCAAGTGATGGGAACTGTACGGTAGTCACCGTGGATCTGTTGACATGGAGGTCGTCAGGGATCTTACCAAGAATTGTTTCAGTGCAAGAGTTGGAGTGGAATCCAGAGCACAGGTGAGCGAAGAGTGAGTTGGAACTGAGGCAGTGGCGACAGTAAGGGTAGGCACATTTTCAAGTAGTTCGGCTGGCAAGAGGAAGATGAGATAGAGAGGGTAGAAGCCGGAGGGCGTGTAGAGTTGGAATTTTTTTTCCTGTTAAAGGTAGAGGGTCCACATTGTTCAAGTGCTGGTGGGAAGGTGTGGCAGAGAGAGAGACCGAAGATATGAGAGAGAGAGTAAGAGAAAGTGAAAGAAGGCGAGCTCCAAAGCCTCACAGGTGGCACTGTTCCTCCCTTCTGGTAAGGGAGGAGGAGAAAATGGTGCTTCGTGCACCTGTGTTTGTAGATTTAGTGGTGAGCATTTGAGGTGGTTTTTCTCTGCTGTCTTACATTTTCTCTTTGAATTAGAAGGTAAAGTCATTTACTGGAAGGAAGAGAAAAGAAAGGGATGCCTGAAATTTGAATAGGATAGAAAATGTTTGAATTGTCATATGGGAGAGTAAATTAATTGGAAGAAAGGACTATTTCTGGGAAATGTTGAGGGCCCAGTTAAAATTGGAATTGAAAGCGGTACCAATTTATGATGTTTATTTCTTTATTTTCCTCCAGCTGATGAAGGCAGTAGGAGAGCATGGCTCAAAGGAGGCAAATGGGGCTTTTCCAGGGTTAGAATTTTGCCTGGAGGGTGGAGTAGAGGACAAAGGGACAAGGTAGTTTACAATATTAGTAAAGATGGGCTATGGAATCTAATCTGGAATACAGAGGGGAGGCCAGCAAAATTAGGAAGGGCTGATGCAGAGGAAAGCAGAATCAGCGGAGTAGAGTTCCTAAGAAGGCTGGGGAACAGGTATCCCAGGAGCAGATGAACAAAGAAGCAGACTAGAAGTTGTAGGAGATTGTCATCTGAGAGTAGGATGTCTTTGTTTAGTGTCTCAGACGAAGGGCGCTTCAGTTGTTGATACGGTTTGTGGTGCGACTGAGTTGAGAGTGGCAGACGTAGAATGAGGACGAGGTCTTTGGAGTTGAGAAGCTCAGGGACCTGAGAGGCCCAAGTCTGTCTGGATGTTGATGTCACCTGGTGGTGTAAGAGGAAAGGAAGACCGAACTATTTTCATTGAATGAGAGGGCTTCTAGGAGGTTAGTAGAGGATAACAAGTAAGGATGTCACAGCAGTC